GGGGGTCTGCGGTGGTCCCCGGTGGCAACTGAGGCCGAGGCAGGTTCATCCGTTGACGGAGTGTGATGGCGAGAGACGGGCAGGTGGAAACAGTGCGGGCTCGGGGCCGGCGGGTACCGGGGAGGCTCAGGGTGCCGGAGAGACGACGATGGTTGGATGGTTGGACTCGATGATCCCAAGGGTCTCTTCCAACCTCAATGATTGATTCTATGTTTCTATGCTTGGCCACACCACGCCGTGAGATCTGGGATGCCCTCCCCGCGCTGTCATGGCTGACCTGGCCACCGAGAGGACTCGGTCCTTCCAGGAGAGCCTTGGCACTGCCGGCGTCTGCAACCCCTCCTGCTTTTTAGCTCGCTTGCTCTTTTGGGGGAAGGCTTCCCCCCCTTGCCCCGAAGACCTCCCCAGCACGCAGGGGAGCCCCCCTGCTCACCCCGAGATCCCCCCCTCTGCCTGCGGCTCTGCCTGCAGCCCCGACCACCTGGAGCGGACGGACGGGCACCCGGAGCCGGCAGTGGGAAGAAGACGGGGTGGCCCGTGCATCCCGCAGGCAGTGGGGTCATTCCCTGCAGGCAGTTTCCAACCAGGAAGGACTCTCAGGTCGCCCCAACGGAGGAGCAATCGCCTCCCCAGCCCCGGGCTGGAGGGGGCTTCCCTGGGGCGTCCCCCCCCCCTCTCCCTGAGGCGGCTGGATCTCTGGGGAGTAGCACAAGGCCCCGCGTTCCCCTGGGCAGGTTCCCCCTCCCCTGAGCCCAGCGGTGGAGAGACGACCTCGCAGCCATGCCGGATCCCTTCTGTTACTCTTCTAGAGATCCCGCTGGGCCCTGAATCCACAGAGGGACCCTCGTGCGTGGCGAGGTCCCCGTCCGGGTGCTTTCTTGCCGTGCTTGCCTCCCCAAGTGGGTGCGGGTGCCGGAGGCCGACGCCGGGGTTGCCGTGCCTGGCAGAGGACATGCTCAAGCCGCTCCTCTCTCTGACCACCTCCTGCTTTGGGTTTACTTTCAGATCGATGACATCGCGGACGGCGCCGTGAAACCCCCACCGAACAAGTACCCCATCTTCTTCTTCGGCACCCACGAGACGTAAGCGTTGCCTCGCTCCCCTCTCCGGGCTTTGCCCCGCTGCCTCTGCTCCGGGCTCACCTCTGCTTTGTTTCTCTCCAGTGCCTTCTTGGGGCCTAAAGATCTCTTCCCTTATGAAAAATATAAAGACAAATATGGGAAACCAAACAAGAGAAAAGGCTTCAACGAGGGCTTGTGGGAAATCCAGAACAACCCCCACGCCAGTTACAGTGCCCCTGCGGTGAGTGCGGGCCTCGGGCGGCGGGGGGGCAGCGAGGACGTGGGCTGCCAGCACCTCCAGCTCTCCTTTCCTCCGAGCTGCTCTCCTCCTTTTCCTGCTTCTCCTTGCTGCGGTGCCTCCACGCTTTCCAGCTCCCGCATTGGCTTTTCTCGGGGTTCAAGTTGCTTCCCTTCCCTTCCCTCTCCTTTCCTGAGGGATTCAGCCTCCTCTTCCTCCTCTGGAGGAAAGCGCTTTTGCCCCGTCTTTGAGGTGGGACCGGGGATGTGCTTTGTGCTGCTTGCCTAAAAAACCAGAAGATTTTGTTGTCAGAGTGAGAACTTGAGGTTTGCTCGTCCCCAGCTCCTAGGCTTGCGTGTGGAGCGTTGGGCAGTCCCTTCTTCATCCATTTCTGAGGTCCTGAGCCAAAAGTCTCTGGGCTGCTCCTTCAGCGGGCTCTGGAGCAGGCCAGGAGATGGCTTTTTGCTGTCAGTTGCTTGCGTGGGCATTTCCGTGACCGTAATTGTGTGATAGAATTTATTGTGTAGTCATCTTCAAAGGAGGCATCCAAAGCAGCTTCATAGGCAGTTGGTCTGACGAGGCAGAGGAAGGTTTTTAAGGTGAGCTACAAGGACAAGGTGGTCTGGAGGAAGGTTCAGGGACCGACTCCCCTCCGGCCCGTGCAGGAGAGAGGATGTGGTTTGAGTAGAGAGGTGGGAGATGGTCAGACCCAAGACTGCAGATGTAGGGTAAGGTGAGACCATGGAGATGATTGAAAACCTGGAGAACCTTCAACTTGTTGGGGCGGGAGGTTGGTGATGGTGAAGGAGGCAGCTCCCGCGTTGTCCAGGGACTCCACCGTGAACTCCCAGCAGGGGGATGAAACCTGTTGGTGATCCCTACTGAGATTGAGGGACCGAGGCGACACCAACAGCCCCAGCAGAGCTGAGGGTTCACCAATACCAATTGCATCTGTGGCCAAAGTACCTGGAGGAGCAGAAGAAGAGACTGAAGTAGAGGTCTTTTTTCGTCTTGAGACCTAAATGAAGCAAGGTGCCAGGAACAGTCAAGGACAAGGAGAGGCTTTCCAGCAGGAAGGCTCCAGCACTGGAAGAATCCCAGCTTTAGGACACCCCTTGGGTGCGACGTTGTTGCGTGAGGAACCTCATGATGGGCTGGTGAGAAGCCAAGAGACCTTCCCTACATGGGAACAGGACACAGGAGATCCCCAGCTGGGAAGAATGGTGGCCACCACACTGAACTCCTCATGTGGACCTTTCCCATGGGGAAGGCGTGCGATGTGCTGTGGGGTGAAGCCACCTGAGAAGGAAGAGGCTTGACCCAAGCCAAGGGCTGGTGGCCAACCCACCGGAGGAGAACGGTGGCTCCCTGATGCTGGAGGAGAGGCTGAGCAAAGCCACCCAACCCCGCTTGTCTGGCGCCATTGGGGCAGAGGAGGGTTGGGGTCTGTGTCTCCAGGAGGAGCTTGGCAGGTGTAGGCTTCTCCGGGGGTCTTTGGCAGAGCGTGAGGATGAGGAGGGTGGGTGGAAGCTGAGCTGGGGTGATCTGGAGGGAAGGTGTTGCTGGTGCTCTGGGGGTGACGCGTGAGGGGCTTTGGGAAGGGGGTGCAGGGGAATTAGAAGGGGGTCGACTGGTTGTCCTCGCTGAAGGGCTGGTCACGTTGTCCCCCTGCCCCAGAGCCGTGCTGAAGGGCTCTGTGCTGGGGTTGGGGGGCTGCCCCACGCTCCTCTGCACGCACCCCTCTGCTCAGCGCTGCCGGCCATCGCTTGGGACCCTTTTGTGCCACTTCTGTCCCCCTCCCTTCCTGTCCCCGTGCACCACACGTCCCTCCTGGCGATGACACAGCTCTGGTTTCTGCTGTCCTCAGCCCGCCAGCTCCTCTGACAGCGACGTTCCCGAGAACGACCCGATGGGGGGAAGCGACGCGGGGGATGACGAAGAAGACTCCGCCATGGCCGCGGTCACCGCGGAGAAGATGGAAAGCGACGAGGACTCGGACCGAGGCAGCGACCACAGCGGGCTCAAGCGAAAATCGCTGGCCATGAAGGTGAGTGTGGGCTGAGGTGGAGTGGGGACAGGAGGGTGGCCTGGTCAGGAGGACGCTGAGATGGTCCTTGGGGTCCACCATGCAGCATGGTCAAACCCTCCATGCCTGGAGATGGCTTCAAGCTCCAACAGGGTAGGTTTAGATTGAACATTAGGAAGGAATTTTTCACCAAAAGAGTGGTCGGGCATTGGAACAGGCTGCCCAGGGAGGGGGTGGAGTCCCCATCCCTGGCTGTGTTTAAGGACCGTTTAGATGCAGTGCTGAGGGACATGGTGTAGGGGAGGACTTTGTAGAGTAGGGGAGATGGTTGGACTCGATGATCCCAAGGGTCTCTTCCAACTTAGACGATTCTATGGGGAAGAAACCAAGTCCCTCTGGATTCTCCGGTGGGAAATGGGGGGCAGCATGTGTTTGGGGGTCTCACAGCCATCTTGTGGTGTTTGTGAGATGGTGGCCAAGTCCTGGCTGCAAACCTCTTCTGAGTGCACGTGGCTGCTCTTGCAGGGCCAGATGGGAAGCGTTGGGCAAAGCCCCTTCCCAAGAAGTGTTGGTTTCTGTTGTGGGTGGAGAGGGAATGGGCTTCTCTCACATTCTCACTTCTCACGTATCAGATGCCAGTGGCAAAACGGCCTCGGAAATCCTCCAGTGACCTGGATCAGGGCAGCCCCTCCCTGACAGAAGAGGAGAACTCGGAATCATCTTCTGAGTCGGAAAAAAACAGTGACCAGGTGAGAGGGTTTGGGGATGTGTTTGTGTGGAGGCTGGCGGGGCGGTGGGGAGAAGGCTGGAGGAAGAGCATCGCCGTCTGGGGGGGGCAATGGCTTGAGGGAACCTGATTGGCTTCTGAAACCATCGTGAGACTGTTCCTTGTTTCTTCATATCTGTGTTTTCCTCCAGGACTTCACTCCTGAGAAGAAGCCAGTGGCCAGGGCTCCCCGGAGGATGCCAGCGGCGGGGAGGAAGAAGAAGGTAAAAGACCCCCCCTGGTCTGTGGTGCAATGGGAGGGAAGCTGGATTTTGGGTTGGCACTGCTGGAGGGGGGAGCAGGGGGTGGCAGGGCTCTGACATAGGCTCAGTGCTAGGAGGGACCTCCCTGGTGCTTCAGTGACGTGGTTGTGCCCAGCGCTGCTGTGTTTTGGGGGGTTTGTTGGACCCCACCCTGGTCCAACCCCACTCTGTGCCCACAGAAAGTGGAGTCGGGCTCCGACTCAGACTCCAAAGTGGACTCGGATTCGGAAATGGGAAATGCAACTGTGGACATGACCAAGTCAGACTCCAACTCGGATTCGGACTCGGATGTCTCTGTGAAGAAGGCTCCGCGGGGCAGGAAGCCAGGTAACACCCAGGAAGCTTCTTCCACCATCCCTGGGCTGCTGCTGGGTTCCTCAGGGGAGTAGAAAGTCCATGAGGTTGGGTGCTCCTGAGGTTCTGGGGTCCCCTTCTGCTGTAGACACCTTCCAGCCCACATCTAAACAGCCCTCTGCCCCCCTAATTTGGGGCTGTTTTAACAGGGGGACAACCAGGGCTCCTGCTGAACATCTCCCTGTTGTCTTGCAGCTGAGAAACCCCCTCCCAAGCCCCGTGGCAGGAAACCGAAGCCCGAGCGTGTCCCGACCAGCTCCAGCAGTGACAGGTGAGGTCAGAAGGGACACTGTCACCCTCAGGGCTGGGCTGGAGGGTCACCAAGGGGTCCGAGCATGGTCTGCCCTTTGCAGTGACAGCGACAGCGACGTGGATCGCATCAGCGAGTGGAAGAGGCGAGATGAAGAACGACGGCGGGAGCTGGAGGAGAAGAGGAAGAGGGAGCAGGAGGAAGAGATCCGTCGGCTCCGGGAGCAGGAGAAGGAGGAGAAAGAGAAGAGGAAGGAGAAAGCAGAGAAGGGTGAGGAGGTGCACTCGGACTCGGACAGCAGCGCGGAGGATGAAGTGGCCAAAAAAGGACGGAAAGGCCGAGCCAAGGCCCCGTCCTCCTCAGACTCTGAACTGGAGCTGGAGAAAGAGGTGAGTACAGAGCCCTGGGGAGCTGGGGACGAACAGCCAGTCTGTCATCTCCCTGTCAGGACTGCAGGGACTTCCAGGAGTGGCAGGGACCTGTTGTCTTGGTCTTGCATTGTCCTGGTGTGGCCCAAGCAGCACTGGGAAGGGTCATGTCTGTATCACAGAATCATAGAACGGTTTGGGATGGAAGGGATCTTAAAGATCATCGAGTCCCAACCCCCTGCCCTGGGCAGGGACACCTCCCACCAGACCAGGTTGCTCCAAGCCCCATCCAACCTGCCCTTGAACCCCTCCAGGGACGGGGCAGCCACGACTTCACTGGGCAACCTGTTCCAGTGTCTCACCACCCTCACTGTAAAGAATTTCTTTCTGGTATCTCATCTAAATCTCCCCTCTTCCAAATTAAAACCATTCCCCCTTGTCCTGTCACTGCACTTCCTGACAAAGAGTCCCTCCCCAGCTCTCCTGTAGCCCCTTCAGATATTGAAAGATCACTATAAGGTCTCCCCGGAGCCTTCTCTTCTCCAGGCTGACCAACCCCAGCTCTCTCAGCCTGTCCTCGTAGAAGAGGTGCTCCAGCCCTCTGAGCATCAATGTCATGCCCATGCCTTGTGAGTGGGAGCCCAGCAGTGGGTCTCACACCTCCGTGATGCTCTCCCTCCCACTGCAGCCATCGGATTCTTTCCACTGCCCTTCCCACACCCTGGGGGAGCAGAGGGCTTTTAGGAGCCACGCTGCCCGTGGTTGGAGTCGAGGTCATAGAATCATAGAATCGTCCAAGTTGGAAGAGACCCTTGGGATCATCAAGTCCAACCATCTCCCCTACTCTACAAAGTCCTCCCC